CCACTTACGGGGTCAATTGTAACAGTTCATAAATTCAACTAAAACATAGTTAATTATACATATTATCATAGTTGTGATATATTTTTTTATTTATCAAAATGGTAGTGATATTTTAGGAGTAAAAATAATAATGAGCAGACACCTAAAGGGTTAAACTTTTAACTTTAAGGGGTTAAAAATTTTAATTTATGCTGTGAAAGGTGACAAATAAAATAATGCGCATGCAACATAACATAAATGATATAGGAAACTATTGGTGGTCCTTAAAGAGTTAAGTAATGGTGTGTAAACATAAGATTATTTATTTTCAGCTGTTACAATCGTCCGTTTACTTATTGTTACAATCGTCCCCAAGACGCGATTTCAGCTTCATTTGTTAAAAACAATGCTAGTTAATTAACAAAACTAATCTTTTTTTGAAATGTTAATTAAGGTGTCCACTTACATATTCGGTCAATATAAAGAAAATTACTTTGTTACAATATAATATTCTAATACCAAAAAAAGTACTTACGTAGCGGGAAAATATCTTTCGTGATATAACTCTTTCAAAAGCACATAAAAATGGTTGCCCGCAGGTGTGTACATGTAGATTTATTAAATACATCTTGTGCGCCACCTAGGAACCAAATCTAGAACCCGACACTCGAAATTTTTGCTCTGTTACAATCGTACCCTGTTACAATTGACCCCACTCTCCCCTATGAGACGTTTTTTCTAGTTCATTTTTGTAATAAATGTTTTTATCATGAACTTCATCACTAGTATTTTCTTAAAGCCTTTGTACTGGAACTCAAATTTTACAATAGAGATTTCCCTGTAGGTATGGTTTCATTATTCCACTAAATGCTCCAAGGCGTGAATGTGGCGGATGCGAGTCCCGCGTTACTCCTGAAGGTACCCTTTTGATGTTCTCCACTAACTTCTGCTATATTTTCTTCGTGAGAAGGGTTTTATAGTCCTACTTTGCAATATGATTGCAAGCCTGCATAAGTATGTGTAACAAGATATAAATAAAAAACAGAAAATAAATATTTTAAAATGCAAGGAGCATGAAACATTTTTCATAATAACTCTTGTAATGTTTCTAGGATTTAAATGCACAGGGTATTGAGATAAATTTAAAATTAATGCCTCGAAAAAACTAGAATTTTTCTTTATCTATTAAAGTAATCTAACTCTGACACAAATATTTGCACATTACGTATCAAAAACGTTAAGTTTCTACGCAAGTTGAAGATTTAAGTGCAGTACATCTTCCACAATACAACTGAAAGGCAATTTAGAATCTAGCCCCAACTTATTTAAAATAATATTTCTTACTGAATGTGAAATAAATGCAATCCTAGTGTTAAAAATATGTGAAAGTGTAAACAGATGTTTAAAAAATAAGGATAATGCATTTTTCGTTTCGACTATTTCGCTTTTTCAGATAAGAAGGGGAGCTTGTTTTCTCCGATAATAAAGAAAGCTCATTTTATAAATGCTTTTCTTCCATGATTTTGTAAACTCGTCACGTGTTTCGAACGAAATGAAGTATGATAGTTTCTTTTTCCATGTTAACTTAATCATGGAATGTTTTCTTTCAAATTTTTCGTTTTTTAAGAGAGATGAATTGATAGTTTATATATGCTTAAAACAGTAATTAAGCTTATACATATTTTGCGTTCCTTTTTTTTTAAATTCTTGCAATGCATTTTAGGAACGCACACTGGCAATACACAGCTTGTAAATAATTAAATGAAAATGGAACATTTTTAAAACGTTTAATTAATGGTTGGATTAACTATTACGCACTGACATGCAATAAAAAAGGGATAGTAAAAATATGGTTCTTTTTGGGATTATCTTAAATATTAATATAGACTTCATTTTAAATTAAGAAGTCAGAAACATAAACATATTTTCTTTTAAGGAAGCGTGCCTTTTAGATGGATTTACATTTAACCATCAACATGTATTTGTATTCTGGAAAATATTACTCAAATTGTTATTGTTTCATAGATCTGAATTATTGTCTCTTTAATGAAAATTTTATATTTCACATACCTTTAAAATTTCGTACAATAATGAAAGCTCTCTGATACCAAATTAAGAAGCTCATTTATCCAGGAATAATTTTACGCAGAATATAATTCGTTAATATTATTTGTTATTTTACAATTTATTTTCAATATGAGTGTATGATTGAAAATATTGCTTATTGCATTGTGGTATATATATATATATATATATATATATATATATAAANTATATATATATGCATTTTTATTTCTCAATAGAGATAGTCAAACAATTGTGCTCAAATTTAGTATTTACAAATTAAAAGAACACAGTTCTAAGTAGTGTAAAATTTCCGTTTCTTAGAATCAGTATAATTTTCTTTTATAACTTGTTCTGTTAATGCAGTTGTGATTTTACTTATTTATATTGTACAGTTTTGTTACGATTCTTTAATTTGTTTGATTGTTAAAAATACTTACCTTTTTTAGCAATTATATATTTTTTTTTAACATGAGAAAATTCCGTGTATTGCGGTATGTTTACATTTTTTCGTGCATTACATTCTCGTAGAGGCAATTTATTGAATGCTAGAATTATTCGCAAGAGATATGAATCGATTAACTTATTCATGCAAAATTAGAAATATTGGTGGACGACAGAAACCTTTTTTTAAATATATATATAACGGTATAAGAAGAATATGAAGAACAAATCATGTGTGGATCATATTTTCATTTCAAAAAGAAAGTGTCCAACAAGAATATTTTGCATGTATTTCTAGAAAAATAAACAATATTAAAAAACACGTAATTTTCCCCTTTAAAGTATGATGTTTGCACACATGTGTTCTGTTTTAAGTTTAGAAAAAATTCTTTTAATTTAATATTTAACTTTATTATGTATTTTACAATTCCTGAATTTATGGAAAAATACACTGTAAAACACGATTGAACATTGATTTGTTTTTTATTTTAATTGTTTAAACGTTTGATTTAATTTATTTATTGAAAAAGTTTTCTGTTTGTTATTTTGAAAAAAAAGCTATTCCTGTTTTTAATTATGTATTTTACAATGTCTATATTTCTAGAAAAATATACATTATTAAATAACAGGTAATTTTCTTCTTTTAAGTCTATTACTAAATGGTTTTGTTTCCTATTTGGAAGAATTTTTTTTTATTTTTTTAATTACGTTAACCAAATTAAATATTTTATTCTCTGTGTTCTAATCACATACAACTGCCTGTCCCTCTGGAATAAACTAATGGAAGTTTGACATATTCCTTGTCTATATCACCCAGTTATTAATCAAATTTATGTCTTCCTTTCAAAAAGATACGTATTATGTGTTCTTCAATTACTTAAAAAAAATATTTATATAAACCTTAATACTGCTAAAGGTTATTTAATGTCCAGAAGATAAATATTGAAAAAAATTTTATACTTCTCTTAAATTAGTCAATATTGATCATTAGAATCGGTATAAAATTGAAAACGTAAACGAACTATGATTGTTTAATTTTTGAATTTGAACGATCTTTTCATATTTAAAAAGAATTCATTTTAACCTTTTTCTCTTGATTCAATATTTTTAAAGAAAGAATATTTATTTCTCCTACTATCGTACCAAATAGTTATACTTTTTGTAATTAACAGACCGAATTCGAGTCTACTACATATATGTATGAATTATAAATTGATCAAATTTATGTATAAGTTTTTTTTAACAGATAAAGTATGTACCGAATTAGTTTAAATGTTGGCTAGCTTAGATTGACTGTAAATTATTGATTAACAACAAATCTGTATATCTTTAAACAAAATTCATGTAATTCAATTTTATGTTCTGATACTTCACATAAATATTTAAGAATATTTAAAATCAATTAACAAATATTTTAAGACTTATGGCTCATTAGAAATAGCATAAAAGCGGGAATATCAGTTTTTATTTGGTTTTCAACTTGAACGTGGTTTTATATAATTAACATAATTTCTTTAAATTTTTCTCTGTGATATTTTGTTGAAAATAGAATATTCATTTTCCCTAGTTTTGATCCAATTTACCAATATATTTTGTTTTAGAGGAGATAGACAATATTTTGAACAATT